ATATGAGAACATATTCTTAAAAATATGTTAAGTGTGTGAGGGAACATCAGAGAGCATATGAGGATCTAAGGGCACATATTAGAACTGTGAGAGGTGCATAATGCGATAGCTATTAGAAACCATGACAGACATGTGAGAGACCTATGGAACTATGTGACACTATGGGAACGTGGGATACCTACGTTTGAGAAAATATGAAAAATATGAGAAACTATGTTAAAATATGAGAAAATATGAGAAGTATGATAAGTATGAGAAACTATGAAACATATGAGAAAATGTGAGACATATGAGAAAATATGAGAAATGTGCGAAAATATGAGAAACTATGAGAAACTATAGTTCTCATATTTTCTCATATTTCTCATTCTCATATTTGTCACATTTTCTCATATTTATCACATGTCTCATAGTTTCTCATATTTCTCATATTTTCTCATATCTCCCATAGTCTAACATAGTTCACATATTTCTCATATTTTCCCATGGACCCGTACATTGTCTCACAAGTTGTTCTCAGTTTCTCATATGCACTTCTCATAATACATTCAGGTTTATCACGCAGTATCATATCTTATCATATGGCACTCATACAGTCTCAAACCTTCTCATAAGTTTAACTTCCCATCTTTTCTCATATGTTCTCATATTTTCTCATATTTCTCATATTTTGTCACTTGAGAAATATGAGACACTATGAGAACATATGAGAAAATATGAGAAATATGAGGAACTATGAGAAAATATGAGAAATATGAGAAACTGTGAGCATATGTGAGAACATATGAGAAAATGTCAGAAGCATGTCAGACACCTCTGTGCCACAAAGTAGGAAACTATTAGAACACGTTGGAGAGCGATGCCTCCTCTCTGTGTCCACCTATAGCTCTGAGTTTGATGCCCAGGCAGAGGACTTGCTTGCAAAGGCCAGACCCCAGGACTGATGCGTGAAGTATTGGTAACGTAGGTGTCTCAGAAAGGGGGGTGTCTCACAAAAGAGGGGTGTCTTGAAAACTTTGGTATTAAAGACGGCTGCATTGTGAGACAGCTGTGCTGTGCGTGCCTGACTGTGGCCACTTCTAGTGGATCTAGTGGCTCCCCCCTGTCTAGTAATCTAGTCACTGCACTGAGCTGATGGCACGAGTGGCGCGGAAGCCATCGAGCTCCTCAGCATCTTCAGGCCGCTGCCCAAAGCCGACCAAGGTGACGCAAAAGCCCTCATCAAAGTCCTCAACATCCAGTGCAAAGACGGTTGGGGTTCTTTACACACGGACAAGCAGTGACGGAAAGAAGCTAGCAGGCTCGATCAAGCGTCAAACATCAGCGGCCAAACAGGCAGCGCAAAGGGACTCAACGCCCTTGAAAGTCAAGCTGTCAGAAGTGGTGAGTGGGAGCCTTCCCTATGACCAGCGTGCTGCCCTGAAGAGCCTAGTTGAGCGCACACACCCCATGCTCAAGGGCTGTGCTGACAAGGTCAAGATATTTCTTGAGTCTGCCCGTGCCTTGGCGCGCTCGCAGATTGCTGCAGAGCAGGCCTGGCAGGCGAGCCGGAAGCACAATGTGGAAATTGTGTGCAGTGACATACCGGATTTGTTCACTCACAGCCCTACGCCGGCACAGTCGTTCATCAGGAAGGTGCACTGCGCAGCTCAAGAGTTCAACAAAGACATGGTGGTGTATCACCTGTCCCAGGGCTTGGCTAACAAGGTAAAAACCACCAAGGAAATCACACAGAAGGGGAGCCCCAAGGCGGGCAAGCTCCAAAACCATGTTTAGAAGAGGGAAGTAAAGTGGCAATAACACATTGTTGCGGCTGGATTTCCCTTCAGGTGAACGGCTGCAAAAGTGTGATTCAGAAGCTCAAGCCGTCCCAGGCCAGCATCAAGCAGGTGAAGAAACTCAAGGCGCAGCGCGACAAGGGTGAGTTTGGATGGCGGCCTCTTGCCACGAAGGTGAGCAAAGTCCTGCGAGTGAAGGCGTGCCTTGCACCTGAGACGGTTCGCCGGCTATGCGTCGAGATCAAAGTCAAGAAGCTTTGAGTGGATCCTGTATGTCAAGTAGTTCAGTAATCTTGATTTGCTGCCCATGCAGTGCTAAGCTGCCACAGTGCAGCAGTCTCACTCCAAGCCACCGGCGACATGTCAAAAGTCATGGCGCCGCAAGCCTCAGAGCAATGTGCTGAAATTGTGGCACTCAGAACTGCTGCACTGCACCGGCAACATAAAAGCGCGCACGGGCTGCCTGTAGATTTTTTCAATCCCCGCGCAGGGCCCTTTCTACTCTTGTCCAGCTAGAGCCACTGGACCCACTGTAGCCAAGTGATTTCCTGAAGCAACTGATTCCTGAAGCAAGCCATGATTTCCTGGAAAAAACAGCGAGTCCAGCTGAAAGCTGCATTGAGCTAGCTCTAGGAAGACTTGGCAGGCTTTTTCATCAAAGCCTTGCTGGGCTTTTTTTGCACTGGGGCAGCAGTCTTCCCACTGGACTTGGCTTGGGGCTTGGCTTGACCCTTGGCTTTGCCCTTGCCCTTGGCCTTTTGCGGACTGCCCTTGGCCTTTTCCGGATTGGATGCAGATTCAGGCTCTGGGCACTGCAGGGAACGGGCAACTTGATCAGCTGCCCTTTGCTCCCGCTGTGTCAACTCTCCATATATGTCCTGCGAGGAGTGCTCCAAGAACGACAGGTCTGGCTTTGGAGCGATGGAGAAGGACATCATCATGGCGAGACTAGAGCCGGGGCCTAAGGGTGTTTTCTCGAGCTTCTTGAAATTCAAGAGCCGCGGGCAATGCAGCATAAACAACACTTGCCTCAAACAAGTCGAGCCCTGGTGGTCAGCTATCTTTTTCACCATGGTCACGTGCTTTGTTAGGGCCTTGCCCGCCCTCTGAGCCGAAGCAAAACTGAGTGGCCACTGTAGCCACTAGAGGCACTAGAGCCCCTACATCTTATACACTTCGTCCTTTTTGAGACGAATTGACTGGGATGCGTGAACAGCGGGAATGCCTTGCTTGAGTGCCTTACCACTCTCATCATACTTCACCCGCTGGATTGCCTTGAGATGGGTGAGCTTGCTATAGTCAACGTAGCTGGACAGTGCTTCCTTTGCAATCACTGCCTTTGGGTCCATATCTTTGCGGCTCACATCCAGCTGGTAGATGACATCATCTGTGGCGGCTACCTTGAACTTGCCCTCGACCTCGAAGACCTTGTGCTTGAAAATTGCACCGACCTGAAGACGCGCGCCGGCAAACCATTGCAAGGCAGCTCCAAGAGGCACTGGAAAACTGGGAGGAGCACCGTTCGGACAGCGGGTGCCGCCCAAGTCCACAACCACCAAGGTGTCCTGGCTCATCTCGGAGGGAATGAAGGCGGAGCCAGGCTTGCCCTTCTCTGCCTTGGCGGTTGCTCCAGTTTTGTACGTGCCTTTGCACAGGAACAGTGCTGCACTGCTTTCCAGGCAGGAGTCTTTGAGGGCTTTGACGTAAAGAGAGCCGTCAGGTGCCAAGATCAGCTGGAAGTCGTCCGTGGCAACTCCAGTGCTCAGCAGGCCATCTGGAGGCTGAGCTGGCTGGAGATTCACTGCAGGCTTGGTCTGCTTCTGCAGCTCCTCGGTGCTGCACTCTGGGCCCCTCTTGTTGCTGGCAGGGTTGTAGGCCTCACCGCTGGGGCAGAACTCGTCGTTGTGGGCCTTTTGAAGGCTGGACCACTGGATCCCTTGACCACTGGAGTCTGTGATGGAGATGCCATTGAGCTTCTCTGCCTGATCCACAGTGGTCTGCCGAAGTGGAAGCTCCTGATTTGCCCTTGGCCAGCACAGCTCAAAGTCCTTGGGGTCATACTCAGGCTTTGTGTGCTGTGCGCCCGCCCCCTGGCCAACCTCCGGGACGACGACCCCCGTCTCCAAGAGCAGCGTCTTCTGTCGGAGCTTTTCCTTGTACATGTTAGAGAGGGATGTGGTGACATTCTCCAGGATGACATTCCTGAAGGCTCTAGGCACTTGGAGGTGGAAGGCCTCCCAGAAACATTTTTGGACACCAAGCCCCTGCCTCACAAGTGCTTTTTCTTGGATCCACACTATTCCACAGTACCCGACTTGAGGAAGCCCGCGGTCGCTGAGGCAGTTCAAGTCCACCACACTTGTTCCAGGCTGGTCGTCGAGAAGAAACATGTCGATGACCTGAACCCGGCTCTGCTTCCCCAAGCTGGAGCCCATGAAGAGGTGGCGCAAAAACTGTGAGTGGAGCTCAGAGCCGCTGAACCACTGCAGCTGCTCAATGGACAAGGCGTTGTTGGAGCCTCCAGCACCATCGAAGCCCAGCGGCACCTTCCAGTTGCGGAAGTCCTTCCGAGCCATGGCGTTGATGAAAACTGGAAAAGCACCGCGCTTCAGAAGTGGGCTGTTGCCCAGCACGTGATTGAAGGAGCTGGCTTTGTTGGGCACCCTGGTCGTGGATGACAGTGTGATCCATGCTTCCCAGGCAAGCTCCCGCTCTGGGCTGTAAAATGTCTCCGCGCTCCAGGTCACCCTCACCTTGCGGATGAGGAGCTTGTGCTCAGGCTTTGAAAGTTGATCCAGCCACAGCTCCACATGCCTGGCTGTGCTCTCCACCCTTTCGTCTCCTGAGCTGTCCATCTTCCCGTAGCATGGCTGGCAAGGCGGGATCCTCGGCACGCGCGGGTTTCATGGCAAGGTCCACTACTGGTTCAAGTATATATGACTGAAGCCTAGCACAACAGTGCAAGCAGGGGGCACTATGTGAATAGCCATCTGCGGGTCAGTGCTGCATGAGAGGGCGATGGCCTTTGCAGCTTCTTCCGCCTTCTTGGAGGCTTCCCCACCTGCCTTTGGAATGTTCCACTCGAACACTTGAACCACTTGATGGACCTGGACAGCATCTGCCGCATCTGCCAGCATGTGCCGGTGGGCAGCAACGTGTGGCATGGCTGTGCTGAGGTCCTGCATGCCAAAATAGCTAGCTCAAGGACAGCAAGGCAACAAGTTAAGTCATGACATCAATTTCCCGGACAGCAGTGTCCTTGGCGGCTGTCGTGACACACCAGGCACTGCTGAGGCTCTGCCAGGCCTCCTCAAGGCGCTCCTGCTGCCTCGCCACCTGGACGTTCCAGTCGCCCCTCTGCATGTCGTCGGAGGCCTTTGCCTTCTGCAAGTACACCCGCCAGGCGCGCTGCTCATGCTGGAGCTGCTTGACCAGGCGCTTGAGAGCTTCCTGAGAAGGGGGTGAGTTCCCTAAAGTGGGGGGGTGCTCCCTAAAGTGGGGGTGCTTATTTGCCCAGCACTGAAGCCAAGCTGTGGATCCCTGCTTGAGCCCCCCTGGTCCTGCTTTTCAGCAGTCCCTGCTGGATTGAGGAAGTCGCGGGGAGCTCGATCGTCTTGCAGGGCAAGGAAGGCGAGATCCCTCGGCTCAAATTCCTTGCGCTTCGCCATGATGGCGGGCATGACCTTCGAGTCCACCAGGCCACTGTTCCACATGGTCATGAGCTCTTTGTAGCGGTCCTGTGGCAACATCTTCACGAAGGCGTGGTTGTAGTGAACCTGCCCAGCCTGGATCACTTGGGAGATCTTATGCTCCCATTTGCCATAGACCCTTCGGGCCCACCACTCGACCTTCTCCCAGGAATGGCCGTGGATCGCATGCCAGACCGGGTTCTCCTCTTTCTTCCTGAGTCGGTGTCAAAAGTCAAGATGGAAGGCTACTTTGGAGCCTCTAGACCCACTGGAGCCACTGGAGCCACTGGGAGAGCGCCGCTGGCCTGGGCTGTGCCAAGTTGCACTGGATTCGGGTAATACGGGTGCAAGAAGTCCTTGGTGAGAAGCGACAGCGGGAACGCCGTGAACTGTGGCGCCTCGCTCTGGTGGGCTGCCGCAATGATTTTCCTGGTCTCAGGGCCTGCACTGTCCAGGAATACCATCACTGACATCTCCTCTGTGCCCACTCGAGCTTTTGACACCGCGGATGCGTTCTGCTCACGGATGAGGTCGCGCAGGCGCTGCTCCCTAGACCTGACTCACAGGAAGCAAGTGCGTGCAAGCTTTGACTGGGCCCAAGGCCCCGGCCCACGTGGGTTGACTTGCTTGCTGAGGATTTTTTGGTAGACGTACCAGTGCTGGAAGGGGCTCGGATGCGTGCGCTGCGCAGCTGCACGCTTCTCCCCCAGGCTTTGAAGCATTCTTCTGTCGGGATTGTCATCTCCAGAGCTCGTCGTGTGGAGCAGAAGGGTCTTCATCAGGCGCAAGGCCAACTCCCTTTGCAGTTCTTCGTCCGTGATGTGCTCTGCGAGAATGTCGAGCCTTTTGCTGAAGATTGCGAACAGAAAGCAGCTCATGACTGTAGCAGATCCGATGGCCAGTGCCACCGTGAATGGCTGCACTTCTGAGCCTCAGCAATGGCTCAACTCTGGCATGTGGGGAATTGGCTGATGGCACAACAGCTGAGGAGTGAGCCTGGACCAGCTGGTGCTGGATTGAGGCTGCACGGAAACTGGAAGAGCACTTCCAATGGATATCGATGCGTTTCATTGCCTCTCTTGAACACCATCAGCTTCTGCAAGTTGTCTCGCCTGGCTGGCCACAAAATAGATGTCACTGTGCACTCACAAACTCAGCACACAAGACAGCCACTGGGTGCAGGTGAGGGACACTGCGTATGACTGGACAGGCCCCTTGAGCTGGCTGTCAGCCAGGAAGCCAAACTGCCACAGGGCCAACTTGAAGCGTCGGGGTACATCTTGGTCAGTCACCAAGGAGTCAGGGACTGTGCTCTGGATGTTGCTGGAGCCTGGGAGCCCAAGTATCTGCCCGCACTCACCCTCCAGCTCCTTCAGCTCAGACATCAGCTGGGCAGGGTTCGCCAAGTACTCTGCCTGCATCCAGTCATGGACATTGGCATAGGTGTCTCCTGACAGTGAGGAGCGAATCTCTGCAAAGGTTTTCTCATAGACCTTGCCGAGCTTCTCCTGAGGCGCAAACAGGGGCCACGTGTCACTGTCATGCTTCTGAGCAAGTCCTCCAGAGTGCTCATCGGCAGCGCAGCTAAGCTCCACTACCGACCCGTGACTTACTGAAGCCACTGGAGCCACTGGAGCCGCAATAGCTCCACCGATGTGCAGTGGCTGACCTTATTGCAATCTGTGGACATGACCATGCTTGCAATGGGCTCTTGGCAGCTGCAGTGCTGCGGCACTTGTCATTTTACTGACTTGATGATGGAGGCTACACTGCTGCCGGATCAGGAGGACCAAGCCTTGGTTGACACACGGAGCCTGCTGGGCCTTTCCAAAGCTCACCTCCAACACCAAGGGGTCATTGTGGGTCTTCTGAGGGCTGGGCCAGAAGTCTGAGATGGAGATTCACTTGATCCCCGCTCCAATAATGTCCACTCCACACTGGCGTGCTGGATCTAGAAGGCCATCACCAGCAGAAGTTGGCTTCCTCACTTGGCACTCCATGGGAGCACTCATGTTCATGTCCGAGTCCGAGCCGCGTGGGCCACACTGCCCTAACCAAGGAGATGTCAGGCTGCTTCAAGCCAAGATATGGCATTCCTGCTCCCCACTGCTTCATGCTCATGAAAGGTCGCCAGCTGACTCGTGCGCACAGCTCAATGCTAGACGACACTCCAGACCCTGATGGCGTGTACGTGTGCATAAAGTCCTATGTGAGAGACACAGTGCTTCAGCAGCCGCCCGAGCTGCTGCTCACCCCACTCTTACTCGGCAGGATGTCCCGAAGTGTGCCTGGTCAAGTCCTGCCACGTCGAGAGCTGGGCGACTCAGAGATCAAGAGCTTCCTGAAGCTGGCCCAGCTGTGCATCAAGTATGGCATGCCCCTAGCAGAGAGTGCTCTCAAGGAAATGGTGTACCAGAGGGTGTACAGCGTTGTCGATCTTAGCTGGCTTGCTGAGCAGGTTGGCCGAATGCGTGGTCTGCGCAATCTTGCCACCGGTGATCATTTTTTCCCGCACTTGCCAGACTCAACCTGGCAAATGTCAGTGCGGCTGGGGTGATTGAGCCACTGGGTCAATACTTGGCTCTAGTGGCTCCCGTGGCTTCAGACATTTCCAATGCGCCACCGGGCCAGGGTAAAGTTGACTCGTCCGCTGGGTCAATATGTTTTTGTGTTTTTTTTGCAAAATTGCAAGTCAGCATGGCCCAGCTACTCCTGTCAGCACGGCTCAAGTAGCGGCAAAATAGTTGCTGTTTTTGAGGCGGGTCATCGAGTTGAGGCGTAGACTGACCACTTTCTGAGATGTCCGGGCCCAGAGCTGCCTGGTCATCACTGATGCTGTGTGCAACTTGCCAACACAGACCTGTGCGGCCAGTGACTGGACAAGGTCATCAGAACTTGGCCACAGCTTGAGCCACTGGATCCAGTGGATCCAGTGGATCCAGCTGGCCCTGGCCCAATGCTTCTCATGCTGACGAGCTCCTGGACTTCTGCCCTGAACAGCTGCGCATCCAAAACACAGCTGCACCGGCAGCTGCAGTGATTGCCGCAACTGGCAAGGGCGCGAGCCAGGACTTGAAGTCGTGAAAAACTCCCCCTTGCTCCTGACGCGTGGCTCCAGCTTCTGCCTGATACCTTGAAGCATGTCCCTGGGTGTTTGCCACGTCCGCATCCCGGCCAGGATTGCCTGGCCAGGGCTTAGCCAACACGTGCAGCCTGAAATGCGTGGGCCCTGCCTTGATGAGGGCAAACAGCTGGTCAATGTCCTGCCAGAAGGTGCAGGCAGAAATCAGCCCACAAAGCATGGACACACCCTGGCCTCGTGCGTGTGACCTACCATGAGGTGAAAGAGGGTGACTGAGGCAAAGTACCCTTTCGCCGGTTTTTGCACTGAGCCACTGTGTTGTCTGCGACAAGGATCAAGTGCTCTGGCACTACTTGACCACTAGACCTACTGGACCGAAAAATGATGTCTAGCACGCGGCAGAGGACCTCACCATAGTGGTCCTTAGCTGTGCTATTGCTGCTGCCTTGCTGTGCAGAGTATGGGCACTGCATGCAGTCCGAGTCTCTGCACCATGGTTGTGCTGCTCGGCGGTGCCATACAGAAATGTTCCCCAGCCATGTGCTAGGGCACCTGTGATCACCATCTTCGGCTTGACGATGTTCTCGAGCTCCTTTGACACCCTGTCGTGGCCCAGGTGTGGCCAGGAGGTGGGAAACTTGCCCATGCCATCTATGATGATGACCAGGCAGTTCTTAGCATTGATGCTGGACCACCTCAGGGACCAGTACAGCATGCGATCCGTATATTGCTCCCGATGGTGAGTGCGAAGCACTCGTGCTGCTTCCGCCTTGGCTTCCCAAGAGGATCTTGGGTTTCGAAGGGCCATGTAGAGATCGAAGCAGATCTTGCACTGCCCATGCTGCGACGTTTTTCTCATCTGCCTGGACTTGGCAGGGTGAGATAGCTTCACACCATGAAGAACCGTCAACAGCTAATCAAGGCCAAGGGGCAAAACATGCTTCCAGTGGGATGTGTAGCGTCGCACAAATGTATGATATGAGGGCCTCGCGCCTAGATCAGGCCGGCGCTCTATCATCACTTCCCATTCAGAGCACATCTGCCAGTAAAGGTCTACCAGGCGACAGTGCTGGATTTTGCGCACTGGAAGGCCTAGAACCACTGCATTGGCTGCTGGTGTCAGGGGTGATGTCTCCATCCAGTCAAAGGACCAGTCCTCCCATGGGTCAATGTTGATCAGGGAGGCCTTGCATGCAGACTTCTTCTTGCCAGCCATCACTGGAGCCACTGGAGCCCCTGGAGCCAAAGGAGACTCTGGGTCTGTCTCCTGCACTTCTGCACTCCTGGACCCCTTTGCAGCTGGAACAGCTCGACCATCCACAAACTGGACAGCGGGATAGGCCTGCTCATCTTCGGGCATTGGCTCTGCAGCGGATGCATGAAGCTGGTGAAAAAACATGTCGCACTTGATAGCCTGCTCAGCTGGCCTGGCCTGGGCAGGAAGGTTGCTAGAGCGGGACCGCCTCAGGTCTGGCTGCCCGGCGATTGCGTTGCGCACAGTGCGCTGGCTGCAGCCAATGATGGCGCAAAAGCGGGTGAAGCAAACCAACTCCCCGCACACTGTCCACTCTGCCCGCTCTGCAATCTTGATGTCTCCAGTCGAGCTGGGAGCTACATCGTTGTACGTGCAGCGAAGCAAGTGGGCCCTCTCATCACTCAGCAGGCCCCAGTACTGCTGGACGAACTGGACCACTAGATCAAGCTGCATCTTGGCCTTGCAGCCTGGCCTTTTGCAGCCCCTGCGCTTGCAGGCCGTGGCGACCACGGACTGAATGCGCTTCCGGTCAGCTCCACTCACCTCATATGCAGTGGGTGCATGTTCGCCAGCACGCCGATCTGACAGCTTACTTGCCACTTCAAGGGAAGAGTCGAGACGGACCTGCTTGCGAGACTGGGCCTGGCGTTTGCCTCGGCGAGGCTTCTGTGCAGCTGCACCTTCAGCTGCCCAAGGATCCCAAGGATCCCCAGTGCTGCCATCAGTGCCTGCCCAAGGATCCCACGGATCAGCCCCTGACATGCTTCTTTGCCAAATAGCTGCGGGCTGCTACAAGTGCGATGATGCAGAGTCAGCAGTAGTGGCAGCAGCTGCAGTGGTTCCTTTTCCACCTGCCTGTGAGCATGTCATGGCTCAGCACTAGCACTGGAGGACCAAGGGTCCCAGGACTCATGACTACTGTGCTGCAGGCCACCTTCAGCACTGCTTTCAACTTGACACCAGGGGTCCCACACAGCTTCTTGGGCTTCCTTACGGGAGCACCAGGGGTCCCAAGAGTCAGCACCTGGCTCTGAAGGCAGGTGAGCGGCTGCAGCATCCTTAGACAAGCTGCAAGCTGCCTGAGCCTGGCAGACAAGACCTGGCAGTCTTCATTGCTGCCTAGCATCAGAGTGCCAGGGGTCAAACTCAGCAGAAGCTGAGTCTGAAGACGTCTTGGCTACATGCACTGGAGCCACTGGAGCCACTGGAGCTGCTGGAGGCTGAGCCTTGGACACACTGATCTCAGTCTTGCGTGGGAATTTGCATCAGACTGAGTGATGCGATGCAAGAAGCCTTGGCTGGAGCCTCCTTAGCCTTCGGTGGCTGTGCAGTGGCACCTGTTCGCTTGGGTGCCTCTTCGGCATCCTTAGACAAGTCGCAAGTACGAAGCAGAATTGCAAACATGGGAGTCTGCATTGCCGCCTGGTATCCAGGTGCCAGGGATCAAAATCAGCACTGAGATCTCCGACCACTGCAGGTGCTGGATGCACTGGAGCTGGAGGCTGAGCCTTGGAGACACTGATCTTGGGAATTTGCCATGGGGCGCAATGCAAGAAGCCGAGGCTGGAGCCTTCTCTTCCCGCTTTTGCAGCTGCGCAGTGGCCTCCTTGTCACTGCCAGCGGTGCCTTTTCGCTTGGTGCCCTGAGTGGGACAGCAAAATGCCCATGAGTTGCTCAAGTGGGCTGAGTCTGGAGCTTGCGCGGTTGGTGGTCGCCATGCATGTCGGGACTTCCAGGCGTCTATCATAGCTGCTCCTAGAGCAGGAGGGTATTGACCTGAGAGGCCCATCAAGTCTTTGATGCCAGTCTTCTGTATCTTGCCCTCTGGGTTTACTGTCTCCTCCATCAGCTTCAGATGATTGCACTGGCAGCTGCAAGTGCGGACAGCACTCTGCAGCCACCCTCCTGTGCAGAGAAACTTGAAGTGCTTGTATATTCTCGGAGGGTCACTGACATCATAGGCGCAGCGATCCAGGTAGTGAATGAATGCCCGGTGCACAGACTCAAGAACGCCTTAGCAGCAGAATCCTATGCAGCAAGGGGACTGACCGTGGCAGCACTACAGGTGCCAGACAGCTGCAGCCAAGTCTCGGATCGTGTCACTCAGCAGACTAAAAATCATAGAGCCACTGGGGTTTTCCAACGTCGCCTCCACCCCGCGCAGGACAGCAACGCAGAAGAAAAATATGCTCATCCTGGCCATGAT